GATCCGTATCGGGAAATGGATCGCCCAACTCTGATTGCAGACACTCCTTCCAACACATTTCAAGCATATAATTATAGATTTTCAGAATAATTATCAAGCAATAACAACTAACAGCACTTGACCGTCGAGGAATGACTTTTAGTCCTCATTCTGCTTTCAGGTGATTCGGTCGTGCTTAAAAGATTTCTCTGGTATTCAAGTCATAAAAACATAAAAGCATAAATTAGCAAGTGAAACATTAAATTCTCTTTTCATAAGTTTATTGAAAATATTTTCAACTTTTCGAAATGAAGGCAAAAAGAGACAAATCGAAGAATAATTTTTGTCATCGGCACGGGAAAAGTAAAACATTTTTTGAATTTTACATCAAAGAAAACAAAAGTTTAAAGTCGTTCATGATTTTTGCAGATGCATGGAAAGATTTCTCAGAATATTCTGAAGAAAGCTCGATTCATTCAATGCAGTACATTGGGAGACAACATCTGCACTTTTTTGAAAGGTTTCTACAAACATTTATTCAATCTAATTAAGTTTTATTGCTCAAATTATCCTTTCAGGTTGTTTTGGATTTGTGCATTTTTGTTTTCCTTTTCTGCATGTTCCTATTTGATCTACCGAACCTATGACCGATGGGTAAACGATCCCGTTCTATTTACTTTTAATAAGCAACCGACACCAACTTGGAAGGTAAGTGAAAATTGCTTATTTCAGCGATATTCAAATATATTCAATGAAAGTCTCATTGGGGTGTGTGTCAGTGTAATAAATTGTGTCACTACTAGCAAAACTACTCTTCTTCCTTAAGCCACTCCTTAAATATTCTTCTTAGTCGAAGCATTAGCTTTACAATAGTTCAAATTGATTACAATGCTTAAATCTTTCTTTCATCAGATTCCATTCCCAGCACTCACCATTTGTCCTGATGCAAAGATCAATGTGGATTTGTTCAATCTGTCAGAAGCCTTGAATATTGCCGACACATATGGATACATGAATGATGAAAAAATGGCAAAATTTCAGTCGATTTATCAAATTTGTGATGGTATAAAAACCTACCCGAGATCATTTTTTTTAAGTGATGAAGTGTCGAATAAGAGCCATGCTAGGCGTCTTATCGAAATGACCAATGAAATTTTAATCAACGCTCGATATATTAGCAATGAAGATCGTAAGGAAACATTTCATAAAATTGTCACAAATGAAGGCGTCTGTCATACGTTTAACATGTTGGATGAAAAAGATCTTTATCGTAAAGTTATGGCTCAGAGATTGCGATTTCCAAAACATGGAGAACGTTCACATTGGTCAAATTTTGGCTATGGGAATGACAAAAAACCAGAAACTTATCCGCATAGAATTTTAGGGTCTGGGAAGAAAGCTGGGCTGACAGTTCTTTTGGGTATGAGAAAGAAAGACATCGACTTTGCTTGCAGTAATGGAACAGCAGGCTTCCGATTAACACTTCATACACCTGATGAATTTCCACGCCCGGATTTTAAATACTTAACTATCCCCTTCAACATGATGTCACTCATTTCTGTTATCCCTCAAGTGTTAACAACGTCAAAGAACCTCAAAAATTATGAACCTAGAAAGCGAAAATGTTATTTTCAAGGAGAAAAACAATTGAAGTTCTTCAAACATTACACTCAATCAAATTGCAAGCTTGAATGTCTGACAGGTTTGTAGTTGAATTTTCATATATCTATTCACAAATTGTAATTATTTTCCATTAAAAAATAGAATTCGTGAGAAAGAAATGTGGTTGCGTTAAATTTTCAATGCCTCATGAAAATACAACAAAAATGTGCACTTCAACTGATATCAAGTGTATGGAAACGGCGGAAAGTGATTTAATAATGAGTGTAAGTGTCACTTTTTTTAATTAAATAATTTAGTCTTGCGATATTTATGTGGATATGTTGAAAATAGGAGTTGGAGAAAAAAATAAAAGAAGATGTTACGAAAGCTGCATCTCCACCTATGGTCGTGAATTCTCCTGTAATACCAATCATGGTATCTAATATGAGTGTGTACAACATGTCAACTTTAGAGACGGACGATGAAAATATTACTGAAGTCAATTCTGATTATGATGATCATGATGAATTGACAGAATATGATGAATACGAATATGATAATGAATCAGGAAGCGGTGACGATGATGAATACTACGAAAGCTACGTAATAGAAGAAAATGATTATTATGATGATGAAGAATATGAAGAACTGAAGAAAGTTAGCGAGACAAAAGCATGCGGCTGTCTTCCTTCATGTTCTTCAATCTTTTATAACACTGAAATGTCACAAACTCTTTTTGACGTTGTGCAATCACAGAGAGATGTTGCCAGTGACCGATCGAAGACAGAAGAATTCAAAGATAAAGCTGACGAGTAAGCGTATAAAATTTAAATTGATTTACCTTTATCATAAATTCTTATTTTTAGTTACATCTTTTCAAAATTCGAAATATATTTCAAAGAAGACGAATTCATTGAATCAAAACGAACCGAGTTGTATGGATGGACAAACTTTCTCTCAAATTGTGGTGGTTTTCTTGGTCTTTTAATGGGTGGTTCTTTGTTATCACTTGTTGAAATATTTTATCATTGCACGATGAAAAATTTCTTCAAAAGGAGAAGAGAAATGAAGGAAAGAGTTGTAAGCTTAGATTAAAATTCTTTCAGACTTCCAACATAAAAATTTTTAATTCCTTCAAATTTGCTTTCATGAAAATTTCTCTTACATTTCATATTCTTGCTTCAATTAAATAATTCAAAAACTTTTATTAATTAAAATAAATTTATTAAGATCATAAATAAATCTACAAAAGTTCAAAACAAGTTTAAATTTGTTGAAATTAATACTCGGACTGTTTGATCAAATGCACCACAAACAGCAAGTCCCAATCGTTCTGCACACCAATCGAAACAGTGAATTGGTTGCTGTGAGATTGTTGTTGCAGAAATCATTTCTAAGTTGCCAGCAATACCAGATTTAGTGCCATCGGACATTTCATAGTAACGTTGGTCAGGATATTTGTAATTCCAAATTCGAATGCTTCCAGCACCACCACCTGTTACAAAAATATCGCGATTTTGTGGCAGATGTTTTACAACCCAAACTGTTGATTTTGCTCCTGTTATGACACCATTTGATCCTAATGATTGTCCAGCATTCTTTTCAGAACAATGACTGAAACCTTTCTTAGGATGTTGCGTTCGCATATCGTAAACATAAAGTCCGCCTTCGAGAGTTGTCACTGCCAGTTTATTCATTTGAATGTCTTTACGATCGAATTCGATTGAGCATATTCCATTTTTGCAGGTTGTCTCCCATCGTAATGACATTTTTCGGAGATCAAAGAGCTTAATGTCACCGTTGTCATAACCAGAACAAACAGCTCGCTCAGTGTTATTGAAACTGTCGCCAAATCCGACAGCCCAACAATCTCTAACATCACGTAATTCAGTATCATTTGCTGACTTTGCTGATATGTTTGCTACTGGATCATTTTTTTGTCGAGGATCCCAAATCTTTACACTTCCGTCGCGACTTCCGGTAACTATTTCTTTGGCTCCATAGAAAGTTGAGTTTCCTCCAACTGCATCGATGCTATTTATTATATCGGAATGTGCATCGACTTTATAAATGGATTTCTCAGGTCTCTCAATGTCACTGAAAGAGGATTTTTATTTATCTTTAGATGTTAAATTTATAAAAATAATTTCTAAACTTACAAAATTTGTAATTTTCCAGAGAAATCGCCAACGGCTAAGTGACGTTCACCAGGAGATGAAATGCCGAAACTTGAGCACTTTAGTGAACTCTCCTGTGTTACTTCTTTAACTAATTTAACTTTCGGCGAATCTAATTCATAAATCTGAAAAATTCCATTTCCGTTTGTTTTCGATCCAATTGAGATAAATTTTGCAGAGAAAGGAATCCATTTCACATCAAATATTGAATAATTCACACTGTGTTCGATATGTGCTAATGTTTGCACTTTATTCATTATTCTATCAACTTCTATAAAGCATTTGAGAGAAGAAAGTTTTTTTTTTGTTTGATCAATTCAAGAATTTTTCTATGACAACAAAAAAAGTTCTACGTAAACGTACGTCTCTACCTTACGTTTCTAATATCCTACGTAAACGTAGAATAGATCAAAGCTAACCAAACTGATATAAATGTACACTTTCCTCCTGAAACTGCTTTTTGGAGGAAGCAGTTTCAGGTGGAGAGTGTATAAAATCGGCGTTTTTCATAGTAGTAGTAGTGTAGTGACAATGTACACATTTGTTTTCTCGACAACTCGAAAAACACGCGTGTTTAAGCAAAAGTTAAAAAAATATTTTAATGAAAATGAAAGCAAAACAAGTGTTAAAGATTGATGATGTGAATAGCAATAAGAAAGTTTATTTTGGTGACGACGGCGGAGTAGTTAAAACGCCTGTTGTCAGTAAGAAAATCGAGAAAAAGAAGGAAATCACTGAAGAATCAAATGAAATTCCCCAAAAATTTGAAAATAAAAAATTCAGGAAATATCAGCAGACTGATACAAATGTGGAAATAAAATGGTATCAAATACACCATGAGCACAATACGAATGAATTTAAAGAGTTGAAGGATTCCGAGTTGAATACACTTCAATCGCTTTGTAGAAGTTGTTTCAATGAAGAGATTCAAAAGTTGATGAAAAGTGAGTAAAATTAAACTTAAAAAGATTACTTTTAATAGACAACCAATTTTATAGATAATCCATCGGATGCTAAATGGTTGCAGACAGCATTACACAAAGGAACTTCAAAAGATCGCGCCAACGCTGGAGGTCTTTTAGTTCAATCAAATCCTCTACCGAATTTATCAGCCTTAGAAACTTTAATTTCACTCACAAAATTATCAAACAAAACTAACATTGACGTCTTTGAAATAGTCACAGATTTATTCATCAATTCTCTTCTTCCATCAAATCGCAAATTGATTCCAATTTCAGGCCGTGGAAATGATTGGAAAATTCTTAAAAACAAAACTTTAGAAAAATCAACTAAAGATGAAATTTACGCTTATTGGCATTTTGAAAGTGAATTAAAAGATCAATATCATGGATATCTTCTCAATCTTCAGTCATCCTTTCAAAATGGAAAGGAAATCAACAAAATCAAAGCAATAATTTCAGCTTCAAAACTTCTCAAAAGTTGTCCGGAACGCGAAACTTTCTTATTGACAGTTCTTGTTAACAAATTTGGCGATCCTGACAAAAAGATTGCATCTAAAGCCACTTATAACTTACGACAAATCCTTCTTTCACATCCCAACATGTCTCATGTGATGGTCATTGAAACAGAAAAATTAATTTTTCGTAATAACATCACTGAACAAGCGCAACATTATGGAGTCGGCTTTCTGTCACTTGTCGCACCAATTGCCAATGTGAAAACAAGTCAACAACTTATTAACATCTGCTTTTGTTTCTTTAAGATTAAAATTGAAAAGGTAAAAATTCTGATTTTATTTCGTTTCATTGTTTCATTTTTTTTATTTCTCTTCCAGGGTGATATCAACTCAAAAACCATGCAATCGATTCTTAACTGTCTTCGTATATCGATTCAAAACATCAACGATTTCAACGAAGACAAGAAAACGATTGAAATAACAACACCGGAAGTTGTTAGCACAATTTATCGATTAATTTATTTGTCAAACATTTCCATCGCTTTTCAAGCGTTGAGTTTGCTTCTTCAGCTTGTGTTGGTTCAAGATGAGAAGCATGATCGCTTTTACAATGCATTATATCGGAAAATGGTAGATCCTGGCATTTTAAATGCTAACAACAAAGTAACTTCGCTTTATTTTCACATCATTCATCAATCGATTCAACAAGATTCAAATGTTTCACGTGCCAAAGCATTTATAAAGCGTCTTCTTCAAATGACTTTATCATTTCCACCTCCAAGAGCCTGTGGAGCTTTAATTGTCATTAATAAAATATTAAAAGTTCGACCTGAACTTATGGGAAGTAATTTGAAGACAGTTGTAACGCAAGTGAAGACTTTAACAGAAACTGATGTGAAAATGAGTAAATTTGATGACGATTCAGATGGTGAAGAAGTTTACAAAGATGTTTTACTTGATGACAAAGGAGAAGAAGTTAAAGTGAATGTAACATCAACAGAAGAAGTTTCATCTTCATGGATTCATCTTAAAAATACCACGAAACATGAGAAGCAAGTGGGAAGAGTTCAAACTGCTTACGACCCATATAAGCGATCAGCTGCTTATTGTGGAGCTGAATTCAGTTTATACTATGAATTGATTTTAATGTCACGATACTTCCACCCAACTGTTCAAGTTTTCATCAAAGACATTTTAAAAAGCCACAAAATTAAATATTTTGGCGATCCATTAAAAGATTTCAGTTTATCGCAATTTCTTGAAAGATTTTCGTTCAAAAATCCTAAGAAAGTTAAAGAAAGAGAACAGAAATCTGTTTTCCATCATAATTATCAACCAAAAGGGTCACGTGGACAATCAGTTTACCTTCTGACAGCTCAAAATTGTACGGAAGATGAAAGATTCATTTTTGACTTCATCCAAAGGAAGCGAGAAATTAAGGAAAAACATGGAATTGTAAAAGAAGAGAAAGATGACGACTTGGAATCAGTAGATGATGATGAGTTTGACGCTTATCTTGATAGTCTAGGCGCAGCGAATGATGTCAAGAATCTTGATAGAGATTTCGATTATCTTAGTGAATTGCAGAAAGATTCGAATAAGAATGACGAAAATGGCAAAGTAAAGAAAAAATCTAAAAACACTGAAGAAGGAAGTGACGATGATGATGGTGATGATTGGGGGAGTATTGAAGGAGACAGCGATGAGAGCGAACCAGAAATTGATGATGATGATGAAAGTGGAACTGATCAATCATTGGACGAACCTGAAATGTCTGATGATGAATCGATGGACGAAGAAGAATCAAATGATGAAGCTGAGAATTCATCCACTAAAAAATCTGACAAGAAGTTGATAAAGAAAATTGGAAAATCGAAGGGAGCTGAAGATTTATTTGTCGCTGTCGATGATTTTTCTGAACTTATCGAGAAAAACTCTTCAAGTGCTCATGGAACTTTGGGTGAAATCTTCAATAAAGATAAATCATCACAAAAGCAAATGGATTGGGAAGAAAAACGGCACAATTCTCACAAAGGAGGTGCATTTAAGCGAAAGTCTTTTTCGAAAAAACCATTTGGTCCCAACAAAAAGAAATTTAGGAAATGAAATTGTTAAATTCAATAATAAATAAATTTAACGTCTTTGAAATGTTTGAATTTATTCAATGTGTTTGTAGTTTCTAAGGGGATTTTTCAATTGCTAGCAATAATCGACTTTACGTTCGTAGACATTACGCTTAATACTTCTCTGACAAGATTGGTTTGTTTACGAATTGAATAAATATTTTCCTCATCCTAAAAATAAAAAAAGAAATTCTTTTTAAAAGAATATTTTCATTTTCTAAGTTTCACTCATAGTTTATAAGACATTAACCATGGAAATAGCTGATATGTATTATAATAAAGATGAGGTTGTTGAGACAGCTTCAGGAAATAAGGTAATTTGAAGAAACTTGAATTGAAAAGTTTGCATGAATGACTCATCGACTGAATTTGATTTAAATTAAGGTAAATCGACAAACAGTTTTATGTGGCAGTCAGAATATTGTGCTACATGGAAAGGTCATTGTTGATAAAGGAGCGATTGTCAGAGGTGACCTCGCAAATGTTAGAACCGGCAGATATTGCATAATTTCAAAGAATTCCGTGATTCGACCACCTTTCAAACAATTCAGCAAAGGAGTTGCTTTCTTTCCACTACACATAGGGGATCATGTATTTATCGGAGAGAATTCTGTAATTTCAGCAGCTAGCATCGGATCTTATGTTTATATAGGAAAGAACGTAGTCATAGTGAGTTTAAATTAAAATTTTATGCTTGAACATTTTCATAATTTGTAATTGCTCAGGGACGACGATGTTATATCAAGGATTGTTCTATTATCGAAGATGGAGCAATATTACCTCCAGAAACGACAGTTGCTAGTTTTATGAAATTCACTAAAGAAGGAACGATAGAAGGAGGACAAGGAAATCCCGCTGAAGTTCCACCAGCAATGCAAGATCTTATGATTGATTTTACAAAATCTTATTACGAACACTTCATTCCTCATCCCAGGTGAACAGAAAGAGGTTTAAATTAATAACATATTTAACTCAATTAAAAAACTTTCTGAATAAATTCTCTTTCAAATAAACTTTGCAAACTTATTTTCTTTATAAAGTAGCTTATTCAATTTTCAGATTTCGAAATGAGTTTTATCTAGAATTCTGTTTTTGTTATCTACGATGCAATAATATCAAGAGAATGTTAAAAAAATGTATGAATATTTTGTTTGAATTTCGAAGCAATGAAAAAGAAGAAAATAAATCCACAAAGCTTCAAGCGAAACATTTCATTGTATGTAGTTTAAACATGCAGAAATTTGAATAGAAAAAAGAGAACATTGTGCACAATTTCTTTTCATCATATCTAGAAACATAATTTTCACTTCAATATGAACTTGTTGCCGACGTGATAATGCTGTTTCTTTGAAAACATTACCGAAGAATTTCCTTTGAAATAATATTTGTGTAAAGCTTTCAAATTAATGTTGAAAAACAAACTCTCAGTATTCTGTCTAAGCACGATTAGTTCTATTGCTGCTTCACAACGCCAAAGCAAATTGATTAAAATTCTCTCGACTTTGCTTATTGTTATTCCTTTTTCTCAGAAAATAAAACAAAATAAATATAACTGTGAATAAAAATTATGCAATTTCCATTAATCATTCTGTTGTGGCAATGTTAAGTACAATTTTTTTGTTTACTTTCTTCGAAACATTTAGATAAGTGATCGTAGTAAATTTCATGGTCGATGGAATGAGGTAGAAGGCCTTAGTAAAATTCAAAATGATTTATTAAGTGAAGTAATAAAAATATTAATCAAGAAATGACAAATTGTTGAAACATTTTCAAAACATTCACACTTAGTTAAGTGAATTAAAGTAAATGAGTTTGATGGTGCCAGCTGTTGCTATTTAAAGTCGATTTCTCTTGTTATCACCGCAGCAAATTTCTTTTCTTTAGCGCATTGCATCATGTTTTTTTTCTATCCACTTGTTTGTGGTGTAATTACCTACAACAATTAAATCGAAATCTTTGGGTTTAAATTAATGCGTGACGCATGTAGGTAACCTACATACATACATGCATAAAAGATAACATGACCCGATGTTGTTATAAATATTCAAATCATTATACGACATTGTTATGCATAAATTCTTCTTATTTCTTTCATGTTTTAAAAGTAAGAGTTGTTTCATGTCGTTTTCATGTCACAATCTTTTTATATTATTATAAGTAGAAGAGGCGAAAAAAAAGAAAACTTTTTGCTAGCAAACATTGATTGATTGTCAGCATCGTACAACAATCATTGGAAGTTATAACTGGAATGAATAAAACATATTGTTTCGATCAAAGTTGTCATTTGTTGAAGTCAGTATGAAACATGATTCCTTCAACCTCTTCAACATTTTACTTTTTACCTTTTGGTTTTATTTAACACCTTTTCTTGACATCATGGCAACCTTCTTATCTCCAAGTAACAGTCGACATCAGACACATTGAAGAATGTTTACTTCACATCATAAGCATACACGTTGGGTGTGTGCACGAGTAAAGAATAATTCAGGGGAGCAAGAAGCTTCATAAAACAAAAGTCTTTTGTTGAAAGTATTTCTTTCTTCCCTTCTTTCAGATTAATTGTCATGACAAAAACTCGCATTCTTAAAAAAGGAAAATTTCTTTGTGAGATGCTCTGGAAGAGAAATGATGTGGAAAATTGAAATCTTCATTGTGTGGGAAGACGGAAACCAATTACTCCCAAAGAGCTTTATCAAGACATCAACATCAAGGAAAGTAACTGCAAGCTGCTTTTAAATTTTAATTTTATGGACCATTATTTTATGCAATGTCAAAAAGATCGTCTTTTGAGGTGAACAATGCAAGTCTTGAAGCTTTTGTTCCTTTGAAAATATATTTTGTGCTATTCTAATAAAATTAAACCTTCTTTGTTGCATGAAATTTTCAATCTATCCAATAAAAAAAAAACTTTTTCATCGTCCTAAACGTGAAGAATTTTTCTTTTTATTTGCCCTCCAGAGAATCGAGAATCGAAAAAGAGTCTCAAAAGGACAAGTCCAATTAAAATTGACAAGTCAAAGGTTTCTTTTTGTGATGAAAACGACGACGATTCTTGAACTTTTCAACAAACTCTAAAAGTATAACTGTAAGCCATTAGTTTCTCTCAATCTGTATTTAAAGTAATTAGGTATCTACAAATTTTGAAGATATTTCAGCTTTAATAAAATAATTTTCGTGAAATGATTATTTGATGCGGAAGTTCCTAAAATAAAGCGCCTAAGAGGATGAACAAATCATTTTACTTCAACTTCTTTCACAGATCAAATCCATTAGGAGAGCTTATTTTGATTGCCCAGGTGAAAATGAAACAATTTCGTTTGGAAAGATACTTACATCAACCTAAGATGAATGTGATGACGAGGGTGATTTGTTGATGGAAAAGTTAAGCAAAAGAATAGGAACGGAAAGATACTTACGTTCGTAAAAGGGAAGAATTATTTAGTTTGAAGTTTCATCATTTCTTTTTCCACCCTTCAAGTCATGATTACTCAACAACTCTTCCTAAGACTTTAATCTTCCTGATTGATTTGTGATGAAAACGAATGAGTTCAAGTCGAAGGATTTTCTGACACAAAAAAAATTGAAAAACGATTTTCCGTTCAATGATAACACATTGAGCGTGAATTACAAGGCAAAAACTTCCTGCTGCTGAAATCTTATCGATGATTTAAAACGGGTTTAATATAAAAAGAACAAAATTATAGTCTTTTGACTTTTTCTCGATTTTTCTTTTCGGTTCATTGAATGATTCGTTAATTTATGAATTTTTTTTCATATTATTTTCGGAGAAGGCGGTAGAATGATTTGCATTTACGTATTTATTTGAAGTCGTAGATATGTACAATAAAAAAAAGAGTTTGAAAGTTCAATGAAACCTGATTGAATAAATTCCTGAATCTAACGCTAACTAAATAGTTTTACAACGCAATGTAACTTCGTTCATAAATACTTCCGACTGAGGAACTTTTGCATTCCTAGAATTTTCTTTTGGCATTGCATTCGTAATTGAATCTAATTAGAAAATTTTCTTGATATTTCTTTTCTATATAAGAAAACAAACAAAAGCTACCAGAAGCATAAAAGCGATAAAAGAGCTGATTCATTAAAGTTGATTAAAAGTAAACACCAAAGGGGAAGAACAGCATCAAAAGAATGTAAAAGTTCAAACGGTTGAAGAAAGAAAACACTAAATAGAGATTCAATAGAATTAGCGCTACGCAAGTCTATTAAAATACTCATTAAAGAATTTTTTCTCTAACTTGCTATGTTTTCGTATTTTTTTTTCGGTGGCAGAACACAAGAACAGCAAGTACTGTTAACCATCTTCATGCCGCCTTCTCTTGTAAGTAATCGGATGAATTAAGAAGAAAGCTCATTAAATTAATGGAAATGTATGTCGAAATCCTATTATGGGTCTTTGGGTGAAACAAGAAAAAGCATTCACGTCGTCTCCAACATTCATCCAATCGATTTTCAATGGTGGCCCGTGAAGATTCCATTCTGGTAGTGAGTCGCGAAATTTAAGAAGCGTGGAAATCAAATATGATGACTGCGTAGAGTGGAGAAGAACAATCGACATTAATTAGATGACTTCGAATGGTGTATAGACAGGTGAATAAATATTCTTTAGTTGTTAATAAACAGCAGCAATCTATCTATGGATACACAAGGCAATAATTAGGCCGACTAGATGATTATTGGATCAATTAGATTGTTTAAGATTTATAGACCTTTGAATTTCTTAAGTGGTCAACCAACCGTGGCGTCTGGCGTGGCGAAAGAAGAAAAGAACAGAAGCGATCAATGTGTATTTTGCATTAGCTTAATGTTGGATAATTCGTGTTATTATACGTCCATTCATTTGCTGTTTTCTCGCCATTCTCGCTTCGCTTACTCAACTCTTTCAATCGTCTTTGAATGTACAGTTTATTTTGCTTTTAGAGCGCCTTTACAATATTAAGCTTTTACCTCAAAAGACATTAAATGAGCAGATAATTTATTTGGTCAAAATTATCGCGTCACTTTTCATTATTACAAAGTTAATGTTGAAAAAATTGAGGCTTGAGATAAAAATCGAAAGTTTTTTCCTTCCTTTTCGATGGCGGTGTGTATCATCGTGGGGAATCGAGTCAATTGTTCGTCAACATCAACCAGATAATGAACTAAAAATCTTATTAATGATCCATGAATGGTTACAAACGAATGATTTAATAATCTTTATTCATCACTAAAAAGTATTTGCTTACAATTATGTCACACCACATGATGGTTTTTTTGTGTTCTTTTTTTGTCTTTAAAGTCAAAACGTGTTAATTTGGTAAGTTTTATTTCTTAAATCTACTTTCAATTTTCAATATGGAGCGAAGTTACATCTTCAAAAAGATTTAAAGAGATAGATTTGGTCAATTACGGTTAATGAATGAAATCCAAGGTACAACGAAATGAAGCGTTGATGATCACTTCCAAAACTGAATTGAATTAAGTTTGTTACGAGTCATTAAAAGTAACCCAAATTTTGCAACATTTTTCTCTCCAAGCTTCTTATGGTAACTAACTAACTGTGTGTGACTTTGCATCAATGATCGATTATTATTTACTTCTTTAAAATTATTTCATGGCTATGAATTTTTGACCTTTACATACATGACGCATGCAGATTTCTTTTCGTGGTGCTTTTGAAGAAGAAATCATTGAACGCATTATTAAATCAAATGTTTGTGTAATTTCTGATCAATAACAATTTTCAACTTCAGAAACATTTTTTTTCTGATGTCTTACGTGAAACGATTCAAACGTGACTTTTCGATCCTTTGCGAATTAAGAGAAGGAGAGACAAAAAATAGTAATAATGATAGTCAAATGCTTGGAAACATCAGGCGCATGATGGATGAAGCAAAAAAGCTGTTTTGATGTCGAGTCAAAGACAAGAGGCATGGAAAGGTTATTCGTTTGTCGTCGTTGTTTAATTTAAAACAGCTTGAGATAAGCCATAAGTTTCTTTATTGAAATGCTGCTCGATAGATGGATGGATAGCTTGGAGTTGGAGATAAATTCTTTGCAAATCTTTCTGTTTTTTCTTACTTTTGCTAAATTGAAAAAAGTGTCGAATGGCGTTTCAAGAAGGATGTGACCAAGGCTGACTATTTGTATTGTGTTAACATCACAAAGTTCCGTGATGAAGTTTTTTTTATTAAAGCAGATGACAATTTTGTGCTTTGAAGAAGCTTTGGAAAGCCAAACAAGTTCAACATACAACAAGGGAAGATTTCATTAAAATCTAATTTATATCAAACTGTTTCACAGCTTGCAATAAAACAGAAGGAAAAAAATAAAATAAAATTCACCCCGGAAATCGTCAGCATGAAGGCAAAATGTCAAAGCCAGGAAGAAAGACGAAAAACAACTGAAATTTGAAATTTCAGTTTCATCACAGTGAAATTTTTGTCTTTATTTAATTTTAATAGATTTTTTGTTCCTTTTCATGTTTTCAAATTGAAAATCATTGAAAATGTCACTCGACGATGAAAAGCTTTTATTTTTTTTGTTAGCTTTGTTCCTCCATGCGATGTGATGTTGTTTTCAATTATTTATTTATCATACGGAATGTAAAATTGCGTTGAAAGCATTGTCAATGCTTTATGTTCGTAGGATGGTAGGAAGGTCTCCTTTGGGGGAATTGTTCAGTCACAAATAACAAGCTTTCTGCTCAAAGGGTCGAACAATGAAACCGAAGATTTGTGTTTAGGGCCGGACAGTTACCAGAGGAGTTTTCAAAACAACCAAAATTATGTCATTTGATTGAATAAGTTTTTGAAAGCGGATTAATTAGTCGTAATTAAAATCCACATTAGAGAATGTCAAATCATGAAATGAATTTCTATAATTACTTACCCATGTTATCTGACAACACAATGTTCGAAACGATTTCTGCTTATTCAAGGAACTCTATAAAAACAAAAACCAGAAGGGAGAAAACTTCACATCGTAACTGTTGTGGGCGTCTTTCTTCTGATTTATTTGGTGCCACACATTGTGGTTTTGACTTGTAACATTTACACAACCTCCATAATACAATAAGAGACAATTTTTTTTTCTCTACATCTCCCTTTGCGGAACGAGTCAGGCATCAAATGAAAATGCCATTGGATTAACTCAGGTGTTACTGATGGACTTTTTACTAGAAACGAGAAAGCGAAGAACCCTTTTTAATAGCATTCCCTGGACATTTTTCTTCTTGTTGTTTACTTTTTTTTCGATAAAAAACATCGTTGAGAATGTTTAATATCTAAAATGTTAAAAGCATTTAAAGTGAGATTGCTTTTGCTTTTTTTCATCCATAAAAAGCTGTTTGCTTGTCTCATCTCTCAACTTCCTGATCCATTCATAATTCCATGACATTTATATGTACGCATGTACATCGTATTGGATGATGGTTAATTAACGACTGTAATAACGCCGAATGACAAATTCTCATGGCTCAATTTACTCACTCATTATGAGCACAAAAGACTGTTAATTCATCGCATTACATCAGCTAAACTGAAGATCCATGAAGTGAAATAATTAAATGACAGATTTACTTTGCGGATGGATAATTTCGCTTGCTTCATAACGCTCGTTGTTGTTTTCCTCGGACCGAAAATTCAATTTCGCTGGTGCCGCCTCGTCTGAACATTGTTTTGGAATAAAAGTCATTCATTCTTGTCTTTCAGTTACGAAAGTTGTTTGCAGCAAGAAAAAATCATAATGATTCCTTAAGAACGCCTACAATTAAACATTTTTTTCCATTGCATAACCTTTAAGTGTAATAAACTTTAAGTTTAAGGTTTGAAACTTTTACTTTAAATTTATTTTTAATGGCATTAAAACTTTATATGAAAGGCTAGGGTATGACCATGACGTCATCCCACTAAATGAATAAAGAATTTCAAACCATTTTCCATCCCTGTTCGCGAAACAAAAATCAAGTGAGAAGGAAGTTAAATTTATTTAATGAGGATTTCTTGTAATATTTCGCGAAACACTTTTATTGCACCAATCTATATTTACGAAGCAAACATAAATTATAATTTAACTGCGTTAATATAAAAGTGAAGCGAGAAAGAAAAGGGAAAATAAAAGTGAAGGTTTTACTTCCATATAAATAAATATTAAATGTGATGTTAATTTAATGACTAGTTTTGGTCTGCAATATGGATTAGCGATTAAGTGAGTGTCGGCCTCTGATAATTCGTTTATTAAATTTTCAATTAAATGCAGTTCATTGTCTTGGCACTTGAAATCATCAATCATTGATCCCCTCCAGCCATTTGCACCCATAAGTTGAAAATTCTCGTTTTTTGCGTATTTACGAATAAATAATATCAGATCAGAGTTAAATCATGTTATTGGTAAGTAGTTTAATCATTCAAGTAGGTGGACATATAAACACTGATCATCGGCTATCCTCTGGGGTGATCTCATTTGTTCAACCAAATAAGCTTAACTCACTTTTAATCACCTTTTTATGCAAACAAACGGTGCTAAATTAAATCGATTTCAGTTGTTTTTGTTTTTATTAAAATTGTTAATTTATTCAATGTCCATTCTTAATTTTAGAAAACCTTTTCATGTGCTATATAAATCTTGATAGAAAATTTATTAACAAATGTTTCTGCTGCTAATTAGCAATGTGAGGTGTTTTGTTCGAGATTTATTGTGATTTTTATAAAGATTTCAGTCGATTTGTTGTGCTGGAGCACTTTAAGAACAAGAATCAGAACATCCGTGAGCTAAATAGAGTAATTAGTCACCGATGAGTCACCCATGACCAAGATTCTTCTTTTTCTTAAAGTTACAGGCAAATGTAATTATAATTAAAGCAGTTACAAAAGCGAGACGTTCCAGCTTCTGTTGTCTCAGATCGATGGATTAATTACTTAAATTAAAAAGAAACATCGCTTCTTTGGAACTCATCAAGATAAAAGAGACCTTCTTGTGCTACTTCTAGCGAATCGCGAGAACATGTAAGCGCCAATTATGAATCGTTTTCTACTAATTCAATACCGATGCAAATATTAATCTGATATATGCTGTTGCTGTTGTGGACATAAAATCATTTTTCATCTCTGCAATCGAGTCAACTTGGAATAGTTTAATTATATGCCATCAGCATTAGTTCAATGAAGCAGAATTTTCATCGAACGCGACGACAACGAGAACGATGAGCGGGAAAGTAAAGTGGAACAGAAATATTCTCGTTCGTTTTATTAATTTGCGTTGTAGACTTAAGTGACACTTTCAAAAGAAGAATCTGATGAGAATTCTCATCTTTTGTGTAAATAATTCTCCCTTTGAAACAATCGCAGTCATGCAAAACAAGTTTGTTTAAATCCATCCATAACAGCATCAGAAGCATCGACATGGAACGGATATTGATGCGGTTTACCATTTGTGATTGGCAAGAAAATTGAAAGTGAGAGAGAACAACAAAATGATTCTGCTCTGTAATCAAAGTAATCAAGTAATCAAAGGATACGTAAATCAAAGAAACATTCATTTCCTGATTCATCAATCAAATTGATTTTTATTTTATACTTTTATATCTACAAAGATTTAATTAACTTTTTTTCTTTCAAGACATAAATTCTTCATTATTCGCTCTTCACTTCATCGCATTACGTGAGTGACACAAACATCAACAATATTACGATAAATAATGAAAGAAACAGCTATCTGGTTATCTCATAAATGTATTGCGCAATTTCCTTTAGATATTTTGCTAAGCAATGGATCAACATGAGTTATATTATTTTTTAAACATTCCCTCACGATACTAGAGGGAAGAATTGTCAATAAACTTTAACATTTTTATTGCTCTGAAAATTGTTTGCTCTTCTGAATGAAAACATCGACGTCAAGTCAACAAATCAAAGCCAACAATATGCTTCGATTAAAGATCTTGAACTTTATTACAATTTTTTATTCATCGACAATCGACATGCAAAAAGCCGCAAAAAGATTCGTTCAAAGTCTCGGAGATTCGCTGAAGGGAATTTCGTTCTATATTCTGAATTCACATTTAAATTGAATCGCAATCCTTTGATTCAATAAATAAAAAAGACAATCAAATGATATTCGGCGAATAGTTCAAGTCTTGAAGGNAGACAACTAAACACATAAAAAACTTAACAATGCTGCCAGCAATGACCAAAACCAAACAGTGAAAGAGTCCACCACTTAAAGCTCCCCGCTACGATCCAATTTATCGACGATAATGATATTTGATTTGGCGAAAGCTGAAAAAGTAACAAAAAAAAGCCAGTAGAGAGAAAACGTTTCATAATTCTTTCTTTTATATCATTTTAAGTGAAAAACTTTTCGTTTAAGTAATTTTTGTAGTCATTAAATTGGCTTTTTTTGTGCTTCTCTGTTTTGATCTTTAAAGGTGTTAACATCATTACGTGAAAAGCATTTCATCTATCCAGCAAGAATCAAATTGAATTTACATTCGGAAAAGTTTTCCTCGTTAACTTGCTTTCCCATATTTAGTCAACTGCTGTGGACAGTTTGAAACAAAAGAGAAAAAAACTTTACCATTGGTGGCTTAAGTAAAAAGTTCTCTTGTCAACAGCAATATTTCACTCAGCTGACAAGCTTCACACCTAACGTCAACTATTCAGTGTGCGAAAACGAAAAAATAATTGAATTTATTTCTCTTCGGAGTTCTGCTTTATTATAAGAAAATTTCTTAAGCTTTTATCGAGTCCCGTAGTGTTGTTTGATCTCGAAGTGAAGCCAATGACACATTCCTAGAATGAATGTTATCAGAGTTGAAATTTTATTCTCTCGTCGTAAGCGCAATGTAAAAATAATTTTCCTTCTTTTTATTTTATGCATGATCGAAATTGTTTGATATCGTTTTATGCTTCGAAACATTTCCTTGAAGTTTATTCGAGTCTCCTTCTCTGGTAGAGTCTCGAAACGTTATCTGCAAAGCAGATCGATTAAAAGTATCAATAAAAATATTTCTGATGGAATAACTAACGTGATATATTACATGCGAGTGCGAGTGTCAGATTAAAGATCTTGAACTTTATTATGCAAATTCTTCTTCTGTTTATGCTTCATCATCATCGACAATCGACATGCATAAGCCGCAAAAAGATTCGTTCAAAGTCTCGGAGATTCGCTGAAGGGAATTTCGTTCTACATTCTGAATTCACATTTAAATTGAATCGCAATCCTTTGATTCAATAAATAAAAAAGACATTCAAACGATATTCGGCGAATAGTTCAAGTCTTGAAGGTTGATGCTGGTGCTGTTCAAGTCCGATCAATCACTCAAAATATAAATTGCATGACAAACTCGTTTTATATGCGATTTCTGTCTTAAAAATAATTTAGTTGTTTGCTTTATGATGACTTCATATGATTCATATTTGCAGTCTCTGTTACAGTTTCAAACGTCAACTTCCATAAGTGCCGACTCTTTCGAAACATTTCTCTTGTTGTTATTTGATATGCTTTGTGATTTAAATTCATTCAAATGACAACTCACAATGCGAAGGTGTTGCAAAAGTAAACGATTTTTATAAAAGCTTTCGTGTTGTCCTATTCATGATGTACACATGAGTTGAGAAATATTGAAATATTTAATTAAATAAAACATGGTTTATTCCTTATTTATCTAACAAAAGCTAGATTCATATTGTATGACTTGTCTGCGTCTACAAATTTATTACTCAACGAAACTGATTTTAATGAAATGATTTTAGAAAAGCTTTTCAACTTCCAAAAAGGAATTTTCCAATTTACTTTTTCAATTAGGACGACTTGGTTCTTTTGTTCAGATTTTCTGAATATTTGCTTGGATAATTGAAGACGAAATTTGAATTTCTTCATCTTTTGTACTTTAAAATCTTCTTATTTCCATGTACTTACTTGATTACACTTCAAACTGCTTGCATGGCTAGTGAAATCCATTAAAAGTTTCCAATTTTCCAAATTATTCTTTTACTCTTATCATGATTTGGGTTCCAAATGAAAATTGTTTTGCTTTCCGCTGCTCTCATTCGTATCATGAGAGCGGCATTGTAATAAAAATAAATTGAAAGTTTAATAATTCGAGCATAAGAGACATAGAATGAGAATGGAAACATGTAAACGAAGAATTTACACTAATTATGAAATGAAAGTCTTTTGTCTCAAATAACACAATTGTAACCGAGCTTATTGCATTGTTCAAATAGAAATGAATTTGAATGTTCTGAACAAGAACATTTTAATAAATCCGGATGAAAATTGTTGAACGCTTTCATAACATGAACATTCCAGACATATTCATACTCATTCTGATGAAAAGCATAAGCTTTTTAACGACAGGTGAAGAAATTACAAGAGTAGATGTAGAACAAACAACAAGAATAAAATGAAATCTTGCAAATCAATTGTTTGACTTTACATTCAAAATATTTTAAGGAAATCCTGGAAAGCTTTTCATACGAAATGAAATTTCTTATTTTGAAATGATTTCGTAATCTCTCGACTCAGAATACTGAATTGAAATTCATTTTCTGTTCATCGCTTGAATAATTCTCGTAATAATGCGTAATGGAATCATTGACTTTGTAAGTTATCAGTGATAAGCGAGCGAACATTGTTCAAATGACCCAGAAAAAAGTTTTCCAGCAAAATTTATTCTCCCATGAGGATTCAATCAGCATGATGTGTCGCATTATCATTCCACTCATAAGATATGTATCATAAATAGACACAGAAGCACAAATTTTTTGGGCACTTTCTGGTTTTATGCTGAATAAGCAAAGCATCGTTAAAGGACGGGAAAGTATCATAAAGAAGAAGAAATTTCAAAACTTCCTTGTATGCTTATCCACTATGACTTACAACAACACTAATGTCCCACTTTTATTCAAATTTATTGTTCTGTTTATATGTAACGTTGTCTCTTGACATGTTACGAGTTGATTAAGTAAACAGTTGCGAGAATGTAAACGATACCAATGCTCTATAAAATTAAATTACGAGTTCCTTCTTAAAGCCACTCCGAAAAAGAAGTTCTAAGATCGCAAAAAAAAATCTGTTTTTCATGCCTAAAAAGCTGCAAAATACAGAAATGAGATTACATAAAAAATTCATAGAGATTGAAAGCGATGGGATGGAAATTTCCTATCGGAAGATGCTTCGAACGCTTATTTGCTTTTAAAAGATTTCTGCAGTTAAGAAAATTGAAAAAAGCAGAAACTGATCATAGAATTCGATTAAAAATGTATAAAGATTTACAAAGTGGAAAAAGCTCCACCAATTTTATGAGAGGACTTCGAAGTTACGCAAGCATCTGTTCCATAGTGTGATGTGAGAAAAGAGAAAGGAAATAATCGGAATCGAGTTGAGATGCTGCTAGAGTCAGCATTGAAAGTACTGTTAGCTGCTCGTCACTGCTTTCTGACTTCTTAGAAGTTATTTAGAATGAAGGTGCGCAATGAAAGTCATTAAAGAATTTGTGTTTATGGCTTTTCGTTTATTTATTCTCGATTGATGTCGAACTCGAACTCGAACCAAATGCTGATTAATTCTTTAATGAAAAATGTTATTATATCGGTCTGTAGGTAAGTTATGTGAATTTCTTTCCACCTTTTCTTTTCATTTCTCTCGCTTTTTTTACTATTATTATTGTTGATGTTCGCGCCGATCTCATCAGCTTAATTTTTTTTACAGTTTTTCATTAATAAACTTTTCTCACCTTTGTTAAGCATGATTGAAAAGAAATTTCTTCATTACTTTTAGATTTATCATCGAAGTGGCAGGTTCGTCGAAGAAGTATCTTGAGCACTTGTTTGATTGACCAAGAAAAGTATTCAAATGTGGGTTAAAAATTGGAGAAGAATAAGTGTGGAGAAATTTCCATTTTTTGACAGTTTCTTGTTGAATACTTTCCTTCTTTAAACTTTCATCCAAAACCTTAAATTAAATTAACAGTTTAAAAAAGAACTCACGACTTTGTTGTCGAAACTGTTTGCAAAAAAGAAGTTTTTACTCATTGTGCTGCCTTTTAATCAACGTAAACTTTTTTTCTCTACTAAGCATAAATCGTTGGAAATGCCCCCGACTGTGAATCATCAAAAGAGTTGAATTAAATAAAAAAAGAGTACAAAAATGAATATAAGCTTGCTAAAAGTGATTATTTTCCGCTTGACAGTTTACGTTGGATAATTAAAAAGCGCGTTTAATTATTCAACAATTTAATTAGGGAACATCGTCCCGTCGTTGCTAAAGCGAATCCACTGAGATGTAATTATTTACTTTTCCTATTAACTGTTGTAGATAATGTGTTTGTGATGTGACATAAAATTTACAATGAATCCAAGATAAAAGTACGAACAACAGAGAAGCCATTAATTAGCAAATAAACTTCAAACTAAGCGGAACTTAAATGTATTCGGCATTAATTGTTATGCCTGCATAATTTGAATTATTTACGATAAAAAGTATGCATGCTGATGCACAAATTAATTATTTATGCTTTCAACCACTCACGCACGCTGTGCAACTACATTTTTAGGCTCCATCAATGATTTCCGATTCTCATCATACTCAAATGTAATCTAGGTAAACATATTTGATCTAAAAAAACTTTTCTCAAAACAGTTTCTGACATGAAGATGTAAATTCCTCTGCACTGATTAGAAGCATGAAATATTTCTTTATGGAGCAAACAGCATCAAAGAGAATTTTGTTTCATGACTTGCAGTTGAGAAAACGAAACGTGGTCGACATTAATCGACACATTTCACAGAGACATTCACGTCAACTATTTATTGAGTGTGCGAAAACGAAAAAATAATTGAATTTATTTCTCTTTGGAGTTCTGCTTTATTATAAGAAAATTTCTTAAGCTTTTATCGAGTCCCGTAGTGTTGTTTGATCTCGAAGTGAAGCCAATGACACATTCCTAGAATGAATGTTATCAGAGTTGAAATTTTATTCTCTCGTCGTAAGCGCAATGTAAAAATAATTTTCCTTCTTTTTATTTTATGCATGATCGAAATTGTTTGATATCGTTTTATGCTTCGAAACATTTCCTTGAAGTTTATTCGAGTCTCCTTCTCTGGTAGAGTCTCGAAACGTTATCTGCAAAGCACATCGATTAAAAGTATCAATAAAAATATTTCTGATGGAATAACTAACGTGATATATTACATGCGAGTGCGAGTGTCAGATTAAAGATCTTGAACTTTATTATGCAAATTCTTCTTCTGTTTATGCTTCATCATCATCGACAATCCACATGCATAAGCCGCACAAGAATCGCTGTAGGGAATTTTATTATTCATATTTTTCCCACCAAATCGATCAATGAAATGATTTGAAATGTTTCACTAAATCACAATAATCATAATGATTTTGATGAGACCTACATTCTGCATAAAATTAACATCTATTACGTTTTCCAGTCCATCTCTCATGGAAAATGTTACAAATCAATCACTCTTAAGTTTAACCGAATTTCCATGTTAACAAAGCCACGAGACGCGTGATGGAACACTTGTTGCTGTTCACGTCACTTCATAATCTGTTTTTTCCCAATCGAAGAAGAAAGTTGAATCTCAAAATTCGCTACAGAGTGGAGTGAAATAATTTACGTAGTTGTTGATGTAGCATTGTGAGTTGTTCTCGTCATTGCTGGAGCGTTTGTTGCTGTGGAGACTGAAAAAGACTGAAAGAACTTGAAGTGGTTGATGAGAAGTTTGAATTTCAAAGTGCTTATTAAGTTTGCCTTCATGAGAATGGGATTTGTTGTCCACCCATCTCTGTAATAATCACGTCGAGTGTTAACGAAACAATCATCCAAAGATTCAACTTTCTTTAACAACTGACGTCAGGTTTCTAAGTAGATCAGCTTTGTGTTAAATGTGTCATTGAAAATGAACTTTTCCATCATCGAAGTGATTGGTTGCGATGCGAACTTTCAACTTCAACCAAATTTGTTCACACCGCAAAGCGATGAACTTTTTATGATGGAGAGAAAATTGTTGAGATGACCGCAAGAAAAATTAACCGCAAACCATTTAGAATTTCTTATGCTCTTTGCGTGTTCATCATTTTTGCTTGTTTCTTGTTGGTTCTGGTGTTGTTGTGTTCTGGAGCATTATGTGAGTTTTGACAAGCAAGCAAAATCACGCGAGATTTGATGATGATGACGACGACTATGGGAAGATTTATCTCTAACTATAATTCTAATGAGTGGCGCGGAAAGATTTTTAATCTTAATTCATCTGAATTTCTTTTAATGTTTGAAGTTCATTGAACTTCTTCTTTCTCCACTTTTCTGATTCTTTTGGGAATTGTGGAAGAAAGAAAGACAGAAACGCAACGCACGTCTGCTGGGTCGCGTTCTCGAAGCTCAAGTCGAATGTCGTACATCAAATTGAACATACATGAACTCCAAATGAACAAGTGAAGAGGGAAATAAGAAAGACTTTCATGACACAAACACAAGACACAACAGCAAAGAAAATCGAAGACAGTTTTTATGTTTTCTACATGACCAATCGATCCACTGACGATGAATAAGATTAAAGAAGTAGAAAAAGGAAGAATATGCTGAAGAAAGAGCTAATAAAGACGAAAGAAAGCAACAAAGAAAGAAGAAAGAAGTTTAATGCGAGGCAGACAGCAACAAATTTAAATCCAGATTACTTACTTGATCTGGTCAAATGACGCAAGATGAGGTGTTTTAATCATCTGCATAACTGTTAAGTCCAGATGAGAATGTAAAATGTTTGTATCAATTAAAAAATATTTCCTGCCGAATGTTATGTTAATTAACGTTTGAAATTTATGCTGATTAAAAATTAAGACGTTCACTCCGGAATACAAAGCGTTAAAGTTGTTATAAATAATGTCTGCGCTCTCAGTTGGAATTGTTTGCTTTTCCGTCGTATACTTCAACAACAATCATCGTTCATTTTACCATTCGAAAGATGATTTTGTTATTCAACATCGACAGTAAATGATCGTCATTGTTTTGCTTTTGAAATTGATCGATCAGCTAGAAATGATGGAAATGAATTGAGCATTGTGCATTGTCATAAAGATAAATGTTTATGTCGTTAAAGTTTAGAACAATAAAGTTGATAATTTTAACTTCGATTTTGTTAGATCGCTCGTGCTAGCGTTGGTGGTCTTATTGTTGTATTTATTTAGGTACGAAAGGTTCATAAGACGAGAGAATATTTTCATTCTCAATCAAAAGTCTTCATCAACAGAACCTGAAATTTCAATTAAAATCATTGTTTGATTGATGATAATCCCTTCGACGTTTCGCGATGCGAGTCGTTAATTGAACACTTTTTCAACATGACCAAAACATGAAGAAAAAAATTATAAATTGAAGCCAATAATTCTGACAGCTTCAAAGTGAGATCTCGTTCTGGTGATTGAACAAGACTAATGCGCTTAAGACTTTAAAAATTCCACAAATCAAGTCAGAGTCTGGGCTTGGATAGCTTACCGAATTCGAATTGAATTCTGATTGCCGCAAACTTATGTTTCATCATATTCATTCTTCCTTCCTTCTCTCAACCGTTCTTCTCCACATTTGCCCTCCTTTCAACCAACTCAAACCTGTTATTTGCCAATGTCTGGTGAATTCTGAGAGATTCTGACTCATTATCATGCATTTCATCCTCGAGTCGACTTTTTATCTCCCCAAAAAAGTTCTTTTCGACTTCGTGATCTGCTAACTCTGAAACTACGTTGTCGTGATGTATTATTAATTAAATCATGAAATTCATGCTTTTCTGTATCATTTTTCCTTCACTTCATTCTCATTTATTCGCATATCATGTGTGTGTGTGTGTGTGTGCAGCAAGAATCAAGGAGTTTCTCTCGTGTCTAAGTAATGCTCTCAAGGAGTCATTAATTTCATCTGATCCCAATCTCATGCATCTTTTTTCTTACACCGCTTGCGGCTTATCGTAGAAGCAACTTTGGAATGAAATTCGAATTCCATTTTTCGACACACAATAAACGGGGAAGATTCTTGGAAGTTCATCATAAATAATTCAAAATTAAAGCCAAAAAATTTTAAATTGCAGCTCTTTAAAACAATTTTTCGTTTCTGTTAAATAAAATTATGCACTTAGGCAGAATGAGTGGAATTAACATTCCAACAGAACATCGCAAATTCACAACCAGGCAACAAGATTTAATTCTAAAATATTAACTTGTTGCCTTCGCAATGATAAAGCAACTCCCAGTCAACGAATTTTGTTTTGTTCTTCGTCTTGATGAATGTCTGACTTCTAAAAGGACGCTTCGTTCAGGAAATTGAATTAAATAAATTAAAATGTAAAACTTTACCCAAAAAGCGCTTTTTCCTTTTGTTCACCAAATTTATGATGTCATTTAAAAGTTCGTTTTATTGTGCTGCTGTCTTTTCCATCTCTTCCAGCCCATTGCTTTGTTGAGCGGTATGAAAATAAGACGCAAGGAGGAGAGATTTATCGTGAATAATGATGATTAATTCATGTTTCTTTCAAGACATAAATTATTTGTCTTAAATTATGCTTATTGCTTCCAACTTGGAAGACATTACTCGAATGAATCGAAGGAATTCTTACTTGAGGTCAATGAATTTTAAGAATTTATTAAAAAAAGATTGAAGGCGATTTTATTTATGTAATTTCTTCTGATAAGATTTTCGACTCTTTAAAGCTTTCAAGTTAATAAGCTTAGGCATTTTTTTTCTTTTTGAGAAGCAGTTTAAAGTGGAAGTTTCATGGTTACGAGACTTGCTTTTCTGATTAATGCGATATTCAATATTGTGACTTGCAGGCAAATCATTATGCAAATTTTCAGCTTCCATATTTAACATTTTTTTAATTTACCAGCAAACCAAGTCACTCGGTTGATTCATTCAAGCGCTGCACAGAAATGAGACGACTGGAGGCGATAATATTTTCAAGTTCCAGTTTGTGGTAACATTATGGAAGAGATTGAGTCGAATTATTGAGTGATAAACAACTAATCACATTAAAAAAGCGACATAACTTCGGAATCTTTCAAGGCTTTTTAACTTAGCAGATGCAGTGAAGAGATATTGGATAATTTCCATGCAATTAGTTTCTTTGATTTCCATAAAATCGACAACATCTTCAATCTCATGGAATGAACTTAATTGCAACTTGTTTTCAATTAATACTCAGGAAACTTTTCTTCTCATGTAAGGTGTGTGAAATTCATTTTTTACTTCAATACGATTGCCTTCAGAGTAGGTGAGAGAAGTTACATCGTAATTAAAAATAAAAAGACGAAAATGATGAGAAAGTGAAGCTTTCGATGGCGAACACCAAATAAGAATACGTGAGAGAATTTGACGTCTTTGTTGAAAATCGACATCTCGATTTCTCTCTAATCAATTCAAAAATCTACTTACGATTGTAATAAAAGTTTCCTTGTTATTAGAAAGACTTCAGGCACCGATTGTCGTTTTGCTAGAATTTAATTGACCTGTAAGAGATAAGAAAGAAACTTTTTTCGTTATAGCTAAAGTTCTAAAATTAATGTGAATATTTATTTTTCAACGACTTTAGGAAACATTTAAGAATCTCTTCACAAATAAAACAATTCGAGATCAATTCTTCAGATTGTTTTATTAATTTGTAAGATAAAATATTTTTTTCCGCTTCAGGTTTTCTTTTGTTTGTTCAATTCAAATCCACCATTCGTAGAGTTTATGAAATTTGGAAAACAATGCCAAGTATGAAAGAAGAAGAGAAAGATGAATAACTTTTAATGTCTGCTATCGAAAACTTCCTTCTTTTTATACACAATTTCATTGAAAATATCGATAATGATTTGAACTTTGCAATGCTGAAAACATCAAGTGGAATTCAATTCCACTCGAATCGCTTTAATGTTCATCATATCAAACCTTTGAAGTCAAAAAGATGAAAAGCATTTAATTGCAGTCAAAAGAATTTATTTGCATCAACAACACAAGATGACGTTTGAATGAATGTATGTAGTGAAACGAAAGGTATCGTTTGACATTCAAATCTATTTACACTCAATTTAGGAATTGTTGAATCGATTGATTTACGGTTCAAAGCATCACGAAATCAACGGGAATAACTTTGGGAAGTCGAATGAAATTTGAATTGAATGTGTTTGAGAAAATCATTGACAGCTTTGACCTAAAGAGATTGACCGATGTTTGGTTATTGAATCTGAAATTATTCGTCATCTAGATGGAGAGAAATTTTCACAAAAAGTTAATTAATTTTTTTTCTTTCTATCGGCCGAGGAAATCAACATCACCAGCATCGATAAAATATCTTTTAATCATCTTCGTGAAATTGATTTAACGATATTGGCAAATTAACCTTTTCCACTACATCCATTTTTCTATTCTTAGCAACAAATCCAATCATGTCGGAGCCAGGAAGTCTAAAAGCATTTTTTAGAATCAGCATTCGTGTTGTCATAGAAGTTCATGTAAATAAAATCATAAATTGTTGCGCAATAATATCTCGGCTTGGAGACAAACAACAAAAGTTTCATCTTCTTGAAACGGAAAGAGGCAATCTTCATAATTTATTAATGAAAATTGCTACAATTTAAATGAAACCATCACGATTTTAAGATTTTTAATTTTCGGGAGTGATCAAGCAAAATCTACTTTCAACTGTTTATTGCAACCTCAGACAACTGCACGCATCTCATCATTAATTGTATTTCAAAGCAAAAATATTGTTCGGCAAGTAACATTTAATCACAACAAACCTTCGTTTACATAATTTTTTTCTCACGATTCTCTTTTTTTTGTCTGTTTCGTTATGTTTCATGAAGTCTTTTGATCATAATATCACATTATAACCGATGAGTAGACAGCTTTAAGCGTTAAACTGATTTAAACGAGAGAAGGAAGGAGAGTTGCTTAATGATGATTTCTCGTTTGCGATGCTAGAATGTTTATTGCACTAATCAATTCCTTTTTGCAATAAATTTCTTTTTAATTGCAAGAACTTAAATGAAATGAAAACAATGTAGATAAGAAGAGAGGAAAATAGCGAAGAATTGCATCGTCATAGAATGTGATGATAATTCACGCTTAATGACTATGTACTTACAAAGTTATGATCTGTAACATCTCCTCAAGCAGATAAGAATAAGAGTTGATAATGATTAAATAGTAAATACATCTTGTTACAATGATTACTAAATATTACATGCTTTAAAACTGATTCTGTAAGCAAATTTCAAATTTATAACTGAACATCATTAAACTGTTGTCATGGTGGGAAATAAATAAAGCTTAAGGTTCCATTTCAATCAGGTTTTAACTCATATCGAGACTATTTGTGTGTACATATATGAAGATTGATTTTAACAGCATAGAAAGTGAGGTAAATGTGCATTTGCAATCAACTAATGAATTTAAATTTATTCAAATGCGCCAGAATACATACTCGAGTAATTAATTAAGCTTAATTACATCGATCTGAATGAACAATTAATTGTTATGCTCTAGATAAGATTGAGTGAAGCATATAAAGTAAAATTCTTGCATAAATAATCAAATATTGAAGTGGAAATTAGTACATTTAAATTTTCATGCAGCTATCAAATTTTTTCATTGAAGCTTTCTACTCTCACGCATTTTGCATTCATCAAACAATTTACAAGTCGATCAGTTCGTGTAATTTCGAAGTTCTTCAGTTTATTTTTTTAATTCTTCTACTCAGGTTATTAATGACAGAACATTATCACGATTTCGTAATTTTACAGAACTCTTAAACTCACACTCAACAAAGCGATACACAAACATTATCGTTACTGATGCTCGAGGCAGTTTTTAAATGAATCTCATCCTTTTCATTGAAGACAAGTTTTCGCATTTTCATGGGAAGCGTTTTAGAACGACTCTTGAAAATTATCTCAACTATTGACAGCAAATTGCGAGAAAATATAGCTCGATTGTGTTAAATATTTAAATATTTAAATATTCGATATACAAATTGCCTTTACCTGCTTGTCACGCAAATCTTTCATTTACCATCCATTAAGAAACATCTTCAAAATCATTCCAAATGTGGCTAAATGTTAATTTATTAAAATTTAAATCTTGTGATGAGACGATTTTCAGCATCACCAAAAACAAATCCCACAAAATTGCTTTCGATTTCAGTGAGACGCCGCTTGCGTGGGTGTATCTGAAACAGATTAGTAGTCACTAGTCTTTGATATGCATTACGCAAGTGTGAAGAAGTAAGTCAAACGATTTGTGAGATTTGACGATGAGAGAAATTTTAATGTTAATGTTGGTTGGAAATTTACACGAGACTAGATAGGCTTAGCAGCAGACGTGCACTTGCCGGTGAGAAAACATTGATTTTCATTCATAAATCTATCGTTGACGTAATGTTGAATGTTTGATGGAATGTTTAATGTTTTACCACTTGTTATTCATCAATGTTTTACGCTTTATAAAACATTCAACTTCCCTTCCAGTCACGATTCATTGTTTTTCAAGTTCATCATAAGCCAAGTTTTTCTTCTCATCTCATTCGTGGTTTTAAATCGAAACGAACCGGTCGAACTTTTTAACATTTCGTCGTACGTGAAGGTGTCAAGAAAATAATTTATTATTAATAAATCAAAAATTAGCATACAATAAGATTTCAAGTGTCGAAAAAAAAGTTCTGTGAGAAAGCTTTAAGTGATTCTTTTTTTACAGTTCAATTAAAAATAATTCTTTTTTTTATTTTCGTGGTGGCTTTGAAGAATTCAGAAAGAAAAAGCAAAATAAATTAATTAGAGCCACAAAGTGATTTCATGCCTTGGGTGTTAAAAAATTGTATCTGATAATAACTCAAGAATACACTCAAAAGAAAGCTTTTTGGATTACTTTGGATTATCAACATGGATTAAAATAAATTATGGATATCATAAATTCATTATAAATACGTATAATGGTACGAAAATTTTTATGCTTGAGAAACTCTTCTCATTACTGAATCACTGAAACCTCTCGTCTACATTTTTCGAGATGAAGATGATATGGAGAAAAGACTTTTGCAACAATTTTCAAATTTTTTTGGAGAAATGCGGAAAAAAAGTTACTACGAGAAATTCTAATGGAATTGTGAAGCCAAGCGTAATGCATAATTTTAATGAATAGAAATATTCTATGGGAGTAAACAAACAGTTTACAAAAGTACATACTGAATTAATAATGAACTTAAAAATGGTTCTGAATTAAATTTTCCCTTTTCTTGACGTTGAATTAGTGGCAAAAATTTAAAATATTTTTCTAACGAGATTTTGAGTTGAATGAAACTGTAGCGGAAAATCAGAGAAGAAGAAAAGTAAATTTTCAAATATCTCATGATTGTATCAAAAACAACTTTCTTTAAATTGAAAACTGCAGGGTGTAAAGCTCTTTACCAAGTTCATTCTTGTTGTTTGGTAACAAAGATTCAAATGACTGATACACATTAGACTGCTACATATTTACTAAGCAGATATTTATGTTCTCGTACGCCCGTAAACTGGAATTTCAATTTTATTATTTTCATATTTCATACTCATTACATTCATAGCGAACGCTTTCGTTCATTTAATATGACTGCAGTTCATGTTTAATTCTCAACTGAATAAAGAATTTCATCAACACAAAGAACATAATTCAACATAAATATTTTCCTACTCCTTTGTTATGTTTCATTTCTGAAATGTTTAATAATAAAAAAAAAAATTAAATGATATTGCGCCGCCTTAAAAGTAAACGCATTAAAAAATGGTTAAATATCTACTCAATTTTTCGATCTCACTTATGAAACAGCCGCTCGAAATTTAATAAAAAAAATGTATAAATAAATAAATAAATCAACTATCTACAAATGATTGACATGATATAAAGAGTAGAAAAAGTACGAGAAAAAAATATTAATGCTGTTCGAATTCTAGCCTGTCACTCCCAATCATTGTGTCAGTAGTGAACTGTGTTCAGTTATTCAGTAATTATTCTTTTGAGCATTGTGAAGCTGTTCTTTCAATTTTTCAATTTATTTCTCGCCACGCCGAGAATTCTATGAACGCTTACCATGAGCTTCAAAATTACTTTTGCTGTCTCCTTTCATCTCAGATACGAAAATTAATGAACACAAAGCAAAATCATAATCAAAACTGATTTGAATTGAGAACAAAACATGAAAATGCCCGGAATTCTTCATTAAATTTGAAGCTTAAACACGATAATCAGCACGCGATCAATCAAAGACAATAACAAAGCGAGAGATCAGTAACAGTTGGAGATGAGACATCGAACTTCTGTTTCATATATTGCTGTTCTTGACGAAGCTATTAAGACAAATTAGGAAATACTTTGATCCACTTCGAGCTTTAGATAGAGAGAAAAATTCTTCTTTAATGTTTTGGCACGCTATGAGGTTGAATAAGTCGTGAGAACAAACAGCAAACAATTAAGAAATGTTTACTGTTAAATCAATATCGATGCAAATACGGTTCAACCTCATGGCTTGCTGTTGCTGCTGTGGACATAAAATCATTTTTCATCTCTGCAATCGAGTCAACTTGGAATAGTTTAATTATATGCCATCAGCATTAGTTCAATGAAGCAGAATTTTCATCGAACGCGACGACAACGAGAACGATGAGCGGGAAAGTAAAGTGGAACAGAAATATTCTCGTTCGTTTTATTAATTTGCGTTGTAGACTTAAGTGACACTTTCAAAAGAAGAATCTGATGAGAATTCTCATCTTTTGTGTAAATAATTCTCCCTTTGAAACAATCGCAGTCATGCAAAACAAGTTTGTTTAAGTTAATCCATAACAGCCTCAGAAGCATCGACATGGAACGGATATTGATGCGGTTTACCATTTGTGATTGGCAAGAAAATTGAAAATTAACATAAAAAGTCAATTGAGAGTTGAAATGGGCAATTAGATCCAACTAGTTTTGTTCTAAAGGATGTTAAGAACCGGAGATATCGACAATTGCGCTAATCACCACGTAATTGCGCAATAATATGCGACAGCTTTTTAATGCTTCCTGTTATCTTCATTTCGTTCAAATAACATTATTACGCTAGACAACTAAACACATAAAAAACTTAACAATGCTGCCAGCAATGACCAAAACCAAACAGTGAAAGAGTCCACCACTTAAAGCTCCCCGCTACGATCCAATTTATCGACGATAATGATATTTGATTTGGCGAAAGCTGAAAAAGTAACAAAAAAAAGCCAGTAGAGAGAAAACGTTTCATAATTCTTTCTTTTATATCATTTTAAGTGAAAAACTTTTCGTTTAAGTAATTTTTGTAGTCATTAAATTGGCTTTTTTTGTGCTTCTCTGTTTTGATCTTTAAAGGTGTTAACATCATTACGTGAAAAGCATTTCATCTATCCAGCAAGAATCAAATTGAATTTACATTCGGAAAAGTTTTCCTCGTTAACTTGCTTTCCCATATTTAGTCAACTGCTGTGGACAGTTTGAAACAAAAGAGAAAAAAACTTTACCATTGGTGGCTTAAGTAAAAAGTTCTCTTGTCAACAGCAATATTTCACTCAGCTGACAAGCTTCACACCTAACGTCAACTATTCAGTGTGCGAAAACGAAAAAATAATTGAATTTATTTCTCTTCGGAGTTCTGCTTTATTATAAGAAAATTTCTTAAGCTTTTATCGAGTCCCGTAGTGTTGTTTGATCTCGAAGTGAAGCCAATGACACATTCCTAGAATGAATGTTATCAGAGTTGAAATTTTATTCTCTCGTCGTAAGCGCAATGTAAAAATAATTTTCCTTCTTTTTATTTTATGCATGATCGAAATTGTTTGATATCGTTTTATGCTTCGAAACATTTCCTTGAAGTTTATTCGAGTCTCCTTCTCTGGTAGAGTCTCGAAACGTTATCTGCAAAGCAGATCGATTAAAAGTATCAATAAAAATATTTCTGATGGAATAACTAACGTGATATATTACATGCGAGTGCGAGTGTCAGATTAAAGATCTTGAACTTTATTATGCAAATTCTTCTTCTGTTTATGCTTCATCATCATCGACAATCGACATGCAAAAAGCCGCAAAAAGATTCGTTCAAAGTCTCGGAGATTCGCTGAAGGGAATTTCGTTCTACATTCTGAATTCACATTTAAATTGAATCGCAATCCTTTGATTCAATAAATAAAAAAGACAATCAAACGATATTCGGCGAATAGTTCAAGTCTTGAAGGTTGATGCTGGTGCTGTTCAAGTCCGATCAATCACTCAAAATATAAATTGCATGACAAACTCGTTTTATATGCGATTTCTGTCTTAAAAATAATTTAGTTGTTTGCTTTATGATGACTTCATATGATTCATATTTGCAGTCTCTGTTACAGTTTCAAACGTCAACTTCCATAAGTGCCGACTCTTGCGAAACATTTCTCTTGTTGTTATTTGATATGCTTTGTGATTTAAATTCATTCAAATGACTATTAACATGTGACGTGGAGGCGTTTTAAAGAAACTTAAATAAACTTTTCTTGCTACAAAAGTCTTGAAGTTGTTTTTTTAGTAATCAACATGAAAGCTAAGAGTCGTTGAATAAAATATGCTCGATTTTATGTTTGTCATGCAAATCAAATGGTGGTGTGAATGAATCGAATATTGATAGCTTTTGCTCAATAAAAGTTCGTAACATGGCAGCCAATGGTGAAATATTTATTTTTATTTATTTTATTCTCATAAAGTTGTGTTGTCTTAGATTCGACAATCATTCCAGTGAAGTTTTCAAGGCGTCGCTCGTGCTAGATATAACAAAACACAAAAAAATCACGGTTTATGTCATAATATTTTCTTCCTGCTCAAAAACAATTCAGCTTCTGGCGAGTTTAGGTTGTTTTTCAATTTAAACTCACGGCTGCTATGAACTCGAATTAAGCAATTTACGAGCGCTTGTTTGTTGCTTTCACCGCAATTAAAATGATGTTGATCGTTGTTCGATTCAAATCAGATTCATTCTCTTATTATTTTATGTCAGACCTTCGTTTATACGCCATTGAACTATTGATTGAGGTACAGTGGAAAAGATTTGTTTGTAAGACAAATTTGAATCAGTAACAATAGTAATTAATCTTTCAACATCACTTAAACCATTTTTCTCTCGTCACTTGTAAAAAGAACTAACTCGATTCGACAGCACATTTGACCGAATTTCCATGTTAACAAAGCCACGAGACGCGTGATGGAACACTTGTTGCTGTTCACGTCACTTCATAATCTGTTTTTTCCCAATCGAAGAAGAAAGTTGAATCTCAAAATTCGCTACAGAGTGGAGTGAAATAATTTACGTAGTTGTTGATGTAGCATTGTGAGTTGTTCTCGTCATTGCTGGAGCGTTTGTTGCTGTGGAGACTGAAAAAGACTGAAAAAACTTGAAGTGGTTGATGAGAAGTTTGAATTTCAAAGTGCTTATTAAGTTTGCCTTCATGAGAATGGGATTTGTTGTCCACCCATCTCTGTAATAATCACGTCGAGTGTTAACGAAACAATCATCCAAAGATTCAACTTTCTTTAACAACTGACGTCAGGTTTCTAAGTAGATCAGCTTTGTGTTAAATGTGTCATTGAAAATGAACTTTTCCATCATCGAAGTGATTGGTTGCGATGCGAACTTTCAACTTCAACCAAATTTGTTCCCACCGCAAAGCGATGAACTTTTTATGATGGAGAGAAAATTGTTGCGATGACCGCAAGAAAAATTAACCGCAAACCATTAAGAATTTCTTATGCTCTTTGCGTGTTCATCATTGTTGCTTGTTTCTTGTTGGTTCTGGTGTTGTTGTGTTCTGGAGCATTATGTGAGTTTTGACAAGCAAGCAAAATCACGCGAGATTTGATGATGATGACGACGACTATGGGAAGATTTATCTCCAACTATAATTCTAATGAGTGGCGCGGAAAGATTTTTAATCTTAATTCATCTGAATTTCTTTTAATGTTTGAAGTTCATTGAACTTCTTCTTTCTCCACTTTTCTGATTCTTTTGGGAATTGTGGAAGAAAGAAAGACAGAAACGCAACGCACGTCTGCTGGGTCGCGTTCTCGAAGCTCAAGTCGAATGTCGTACATCAAATTGAACATGCATGAACTCCAAATGAACAAGTGAAGAGGGAAATAAGAAAGACTTTCATGACACAAACACAAGATACAACAGCAAAGAAAATCGAAGACAGTTTTTATGTTTTCTACATGACCAATCGATCCACTGACGATGAATAAGATTAAAGAAGTAGAAAAAGGAAGAATATGCTGAAGAAAGAGCTAATAAAAAGAATATAAAAAACGAAAGAAAGAGAAAGAAGAAAGATGTTAAATGCAAAGCAGACAGCAACAATAACACATAATGTGTAAAAACAGAATGAGGCAAAAGAGAAAAAATATTCAAAATACGACTGAAGTCACGAGAATAAAATATTGGGTATTTAAATCAGATCTGCTCAGCATCAAAATAAAAAAAAAAACTTTTTACACAATCGGGGAAGCAGCCTATGCTAACAGTAAACTTAAAGTTATTGCCGATTGTAAAAAATCCCGATAACTTAATTTCCTTGAATGAATTTTTATGCAAACGAAGTTCGTTTGCGTTAAACTGGGTTAATTCGTCGATGATTTGGGAAGCAGTTTCAGTTTTATTGAATGAAATTTTTTTGCTTGCGTCTTTCAACCCGAGAATGTTAAAAAAGTTTAAATATCCGGTGGCTGATTTTTTCATATTTACGTAATATTTATATGCAACTTGCATGAGCTTGTTAAAAACAATTGCGTATGAATTTTTATTTATTCATCACATAACTCATATTTAAGTTTTTCATTATTCAAGAAATATCAACTCATGAGTCCCTAAGGCATGTTACATGATAAACATAATTAAGCTGTGAACACAATCAAATTCCTAGTCATTAGATCACCTTGTGGACATTCACCTCTGATTTATAATTTTGATTCCAATGACTATTCAATTCAGTTGGCTTCTCATTCAAGTTATTTTTTTTTGTCACAATTGATGAATATACAATTGCTTGATTAACCAAGCAACAAACCATAAGAAAAGCAAAACGAAATCATGTACGAAGGCGTTTGATTCTGAATTTTTAATTCATTCTTAAGATTTCTTTTTTAGAAAAGAATTCTTAAGTAGACGATGTTGAGTAAAAGATTAAATGGTTCGGTAACTTTTTGTGTAAGTTGAGTTGAGAGATTTCTCAATTGAATCTTAATTAAAAAGGAGTGTCAAGATACTTTTTTTGATGATTCAGGATGATAAAAAAGATATTTCTTTTGAAGGAACAAGAGATTCTATAATTATACTGAGGATGGTGATAAATGGCTTTGGATCATTTTCAAATTTTGATCACAAAAATTCCTCGAATTAGAATTTAATTCTAAATCCAGATTAAAGTTTAAGATTACTTAATCCATATTAAGTCGTAATCAAGATTAACAAAATGAATTCTCATAGAAAACTTTGTCGCAAAATTCTCCTTGAAAATATCCGTAAATGAAAAGTGACGACAAATTGTTAAGGCTCAGAATTTTAATAAAAGTCAACCTTTCTTAAATGCACAATTAAAATGAAGCCTCAAAGGCAATTTAAATATTAAAATTAATGTTCGACCTTTAAATAATTCCACAGATGCCTGAAACCATTTCAATACCTTTTACAACTTGAAGAAAGAAACAATTTTAAACAACATCAGCGATGTATTGCTTTTGTCGGTCGTCAAAGACGATCTCAGTGAGAATAATCTTCCTCGATGAAACCGATTTCTTGCACGAGATTCAGGTGAGTCCCACGCATTTATTGTTATGACAGTAATTCCGTGCAACACAACGGGGCGACAATTGTTTCGCTTTGAACTTTATGAATTTCATTCGCTGTTAGTGATATTAATTTCAACCCATTATGGGAACTTTAACGACAATCCATTAAAGCTCTTAATTTATTGCAAACACCATATTTGAATCTAGAAAGAATTATTGGGACAATCACTGCTCGAGGTCGTCTATGCTCGTCTCAATCTCCTCGAAACGGCTTATTTTGGCTTGAGATATTTGGATTTCGAAGGACAGACGGTAAGAATAAAAGCGGCAAACTTGTTGAAATGAAAAGCAATTCCATTAATCAAACCGCGAATAATCGTTGATGTTTTTTTTTTCAACAGCACTGGCTTGATGCAAACACACGCTTGTCACGACAACTAAAAGAGAATAAAGATATTTATGAATTGTACTTCTCGGTGAAATTTTACGCTGTTGATCCCTGTAAGCTTGTCGAAGAAATAACACGATATCAGTTTTATCTGCAACTCAAGCAAGATGTTCTACAAGGAAGATTGCCAGTCACGTTCGATACAGCTTCACAGTTGGGCGCTTATGTTATACAATGTAAATAATCCACTCAATTTCCTTAAATTATTTTTTTATGTCTAACCAAAGTAAAAAAGAAGAAAACAATGAAACTACAAATGTAAATAGATAATCAAATGAACTTCATTTGTCTATGTTCACAGCTGAGATTGGCGATTATGATTCTGCAAAGCATACACACGGATATGTTTCAGAATTTCGTTTTGTGCCGAATCAGACAAAGGATTTGGAGTTTCGCATAGCTGAGATTCATAAGCAGTTGAAGGGCGTCGAACCAGCACAAGCGGAATTTAATTTTTTGGATAAAGTCAAATGGCTTGATATGTACGGTGTTGACCTTCATCCAGTGCTGGTGAGTTTCGTAATTGAAATATGATTGAAACTTTATAAGATTAATGAAACATTTCTCAGGGCGAAGACAGCGTTGAATATTTTCTTGGCTTAACGCCAAGCGGTATCATTGTTCTGAGAAATAAATCGACTGTCGCACATTACTACTGGCCCCGCATTGCGAAGGTTTACTTCAAAGGACGATATTTTATGATTCGTGTTTGTGACAAGAATGTAAGTGTTTGTTGTTGAAACAAATGTTGGAAGCATTATTAAAACTGTCAGGTTATTTATTCCCCAAAACGTTTTCGTTTCGTATACAGCGTGATGTTTCATCGCTTACAAAAATTCTATTTAGATGTTGACAATTAATAACTTTTCCTTCTCTCTTTTTATTTTCTGTTTGTAATCTCACTCCATTTTTGTGTATAGAATGAAGTCAGCACGTATGGCTTTGAAACGCCTAAAAAGACTGCCTGCAAGCATTTATGGAAATGTTGTGTCGAGCATCACGCCTTCTTCCGATTAATTCGTGTGTCACCTGTACACCCTCAGACAGGTGCCGGTGACTTCTTCTCGTTTGGATCTCGTTTCCGTTACAGGTTTATTAAATATTAAAACTTAATTACTCTCGATGGAAAAGCCTAATTAATTCTCTTTCTCCGTTGAAGTAGTGGAAGAACGGAGAGGCAAGCGTCAAAGGAAGCATCAAATATTAACCGAGTACCTCCGACATTCACAAGACGCCCTTCCCGGCGACAAATTCGAAGAAGCTTTGACACGACAACAATTGATAAAACTTTCGAGACAGATAACAATAGAAAGTTGGAAACAAAATCAATTTCCGTACCTCAACCTGCATGCACGTAAGTTATGAAGATTTTATTCATCGAGAGAGATTTTAAATTGAGTTTAATAAAATATTTTTACATCAGAATCGATAGTGCATATAGATCGACGTGCAGCATACCCGCAACATTTAATAACAACAACACGATACATAAATACAATCAACAAAGCACTCCCGATTCGCCCCGAAGCACACGAAGTGCCGGATGGATAAAGAGTCAACAGAGAGGTTTGTTTGGGATAAATTCAAGTCCGAAATCGGTAAGATCTGCATCATCGCGTAATGGAAATGCAACAAATGGCCATCGACAACGGTCAAGTTCCGTTGAAAGTCAATCGTCAAATGATTCACGATCTGGTAGACGACATCGATCGAGAAGTAAACGCATATCGGATAATGAAAGTGAAATGTCAAGGGGATCTGGTCGTTCAGGTCGTTCACATCGTAAACATCGCCGTCATCGATCACGTAATCGTGAGTCAAGTTCAGAACTTGGAGGCACAAGGGATTATAATCACAATGAGCAACCAGCACTTGTTGATTCTGGAAAGCAATGGCTTGAAGTTCAACGAAAGCAAGCGGAAATAACCAATATGGGAACAGTCCAACAAGCTTCAGTTGTGAAGAGTAATGCAGCGCCAAAGTCTACCAACTCAACAGATACTTATAATCGTAATAAGAAAAATAGAAAACACAGGTAATTGCGTAATCGTTTCAAAAACGCATTAGCGGTTGTTAATGGAAGATGATCACTTTTTAATAGATCTCCAACGGACTCTAGAAGTAAAATATGGTCTTCAGAACTTACAAAGCATTTACAGTTTGATCTAGTCGACACCAGTGGCATGACAGAAGATCAGCTTAAGGAGATTCCTTACACGGTTGTTGAGACATCACAGAATCGCAAACGCAACAATACAAACTCACTTAAAGTTCATAAAAGTGCCTATGGGAAAGATCGTGTTGATAGAATTCGAGGGTGAGTGGAAAGAAAATTTGATTAAATTAAAACATCATTAGGTTATAATTTAATTACTTAATTAGGCCACAAGTCACAGCAGATGGGTCGATTAGATCAGGCAGCACGAACAGTTCATCACAAGATTTTGACAGAGCCAATGGCCTTAATCGAATGATGTCAAGTTTGAGTATGGGAGAGTTTGTGAACTCATCGAATCTCAATCGTATTGATTATGCTGGCATAAGAGTGTCGCATGAACATACCGATTCTGGGTTAGGCGATCAAGATTATGCGTATTCGTCTGAAAGGTTTGTTGATGAAATCATTTTCTCTCTTTTTTTGTTTCTTTTTTATTTAATTCATTACTAAACGTCATTCATCAAAAAATAAATAAATGAACTTTCTACAAAAATAGATCGAGCGACAGTGCAAAGTACACCAATAAATCTTCGGGTACGTCTGTTCTCTCGGGTAACATCAACACTTCATCATTTCATTCAAAGTTTTACTCAGGAAATCATCAACGCGAGACAGAGCGTCAATCTCATGGAAGCATTAATCACATCACGGCTCCGGTACATAAAAAGTTTGTCGCTAACACATCAAATAACGAAAGCAATAATAATAATAATCATATTATCAATCGCTTCATTAATAACAACAACACGCAAACTCACAACAATCATTATTCATTAAGTTTAAATCGTCATGCTGAAAATCATAATTATGCAAAGTTTGGTGTCGGTTGCATAAGCACATTAACATCACCTTATGCTGGTAATGGTGTGGAGATGATTCGCGGTACAAAATCAGATATCGGCATTCCGTTAGAACAATCGTCGGTTCGTCGAATGCATCGACACGCTCAAAAAAGTAGCATCTTGCATAAAAGTACACTGCCCTCGGTGCATTCCGATATGTCGATATATGATGCGACTTTTAAACATTCCCAAAGCTACATTTTAAACGATCATGATATTATTAACAATAACAATAACAATTCAAACAGAACAACGCCAATGACTAGTGCAATTACTTTCTCAAAGACTGGCTCGAAGCTTTTGTATACGAATAAGCATAGAAATAATCTTTTCCACGAGAATACTCGACCAAATGTTTCGTTAAATGATGCGCGTTCAAGTAAGCTTGGTCCACTGCTTTATAAGAACGATGACGATTCGGGCAGTGCTAGTTGGAAGAATTGCGTTTATGATAATCCCATCAGATCGGTAAGTGATCAAAAGCGATTCATTTCTTCTCTAACTTGAGATTTTATGAGTAAAAAGAAGAAAGGAAAACCGTATGAAGCGGAATTGTTCTCAAGTTTCATTATGTGTATCTAAGTAACTGCATATTCGCCAAAAAATTTATTACTTTGAATATTTTCTATAACAGCATGAAGTTTTGTATTTGTTTTCGTGTTTTGTGTTAAAACAGGGCTTGGAAATTTTACTCAAACTCACTGATGATCATTTCGAACTCTTGTGACTGTTCCAAACCCTAATTAGTTAGAAACTTTGAAACTTTAGCTTACTTAGCAAGCGGCTTCTTTGTTTTTCGGCCTCTCGCTTTCATCTTTCCCTACCTAAGAGTTCTTACATACTTTTTACTATTTAAAACATAAAACCAACTCAGAATTGCAAAAATTACCATAAAGAGTAAGATTCTGAAGTTTCAAAAGCATTAACATTGTGTTGTGTATAGTTTTACTTTGTAATTCCTTTTAAAAGATCTTAAAACTCTTATTTATGATATGAGAAAATGTAAATTTAAAGCTTATGGAGTGTGTTTATAATAAATTACGGCATAATCTCGCCTTTAATTCCCACATACATTTTTTTGGGAAGAGTTTCTGCGATGATATGAATCAGATCTGAATCCAATAAATATTTACTTCCCTCTAGATTTACCCAAATAATTCCCGTTCCTCCCTTTCCTTATAACTTCTGACTTCATTGTCAACCCTAATAAATAATTGAGCCGCTTTTCGTAAGCTTCGTCATTAAGCTTTCCTTACATTTGCTGCCAAAACAACAAAGTATTAAGCATGGTTTTATGATCTTAATTATTTGTATGGTATGTGCTCTGGGCTTGCATGAAAGGCTTCGTTTCACTTTATGTGAACGTAAAGCTCAAAGCATGATAAATGAAAATTACACTTTGCGACGTTTCTTTTTTGTTTTTATGCTTAAATCAACGACCACGTTTTTCATCACACGACGACACGTTACGAGTAAAATTAAATATTAAAATTATTTTTATACGTTCATATTTGGCATAAATGAAATGAAATTGCGCCGTCAATTACGCAATCAAAATCACTTAAATGTTCATCAACACAAACCCAAAAGTTAATGAGAAACGTTGTTAAGATTTTTTTTATTGCTTGCACTCGCCCTTCGCTGATAACCGTAATTAAGTTTTTTATGGAAATTAATTTTCTTTCGCGCTTCGTTTCGCTTGAAGCTCTCTCTCTCTCTCTCTAACTTGAATTCAAGAAAGCATGTTATAATTGGGAATGAAATTTTATAAGATAAATGGACGAAAAAATTAATTGTTTTAAAAATTCTCTTCACTACTCTTCCCAATCCCTCAAACATGTATTAAACTCATTCGTTGCCATTTGAGCAGAGTAGTGATGGATTATCAGGCTTATCTAGCGTCGAGATGCTTAATAACAATGCCGTTAGTTCATCTTCCACTAACGATAGAAAACATTTTAATAACATGGCCACCAAATCATCCAGTTTGGAATTGATTTTGGCTCCGATCATTCAGAGTCAACGGTAAGTATGTGAACATTAAACTAATCCCACACATCATCAACATAATTATGCTTTATTACACACAAATAAAAATGAAATTAAATATTCAACTTTATCATGAAAAGTCTCAGATTTCATCTACAGCAACAACACATTATTAGCAACTTACACGATTTCATTAATTCATTAATTAATATCACGCAATTTGCTTTTTTCATTTTGCTTTAAATCGCACCAATTTGATTTAGACTAATTCTAATTAGTTCTTAATGACTTTAATTCATTTAATTAGTTTGATCAATGTTTATGTTGTATGATATCATAATTTTATAATAAGTTGTCATCAAAAAGACATTTAAAATCTTGCAAATGTTTAAAAGGAGTTAATTTCATTATTATTATCGTCAGCTCTCATTTCAACAAGATATTGAAGCACATTCTCATGTTGTTAAGTTAATGGCATTTGCATAACAAAGGGGAACATGATAAAAGAACATTTTATATTTAAGTAGATATTTAAATTGCTATCATTCACTTCTTCAACAACAACCATGCACATAAAAACAATTCATAAAATGATGTTAATAAATATAATTATCGATTATTTTACAGAGCAAAACAATAGGTGAGATGAGTACGGAACTTTGACGTTGTTGTTACGATGGAACCCTCGACAACAACATGAAGATATCATAAAATACATTTAGTTAATTACACTTAAGATTTACTTTGTAAAACCTTTCAAAATTCTTATTCTCAACTGAAATCTATCGCTTTCATGTCCTGGATGTTTGATGCTTCTTATCAATCTGAATACATTTAAAAATTATTTTGTAAGCTCTTTCATCCCTTTTTCCACTTATCTTTAAATGAAGAAATTTTGTGTGTTTTATAAATGGTTCAATTAGCATAGCAAATAAAAAGAAAGCACTTTCAAACAGAAAATATGTTTACGGGCTTTTAAATTCATTCGAAATAAAAACGAGGAAAAAGTTTATTTTTACTTTCTGTCGAGCGTGACATTTCAACCACATAACGAAAATTTTCATCAACTATGTTGTATGTTTCCAGTGGAAATAATTGAGTGAAAAACTTTTTCAATTTTCACATTTTGCAGCACTTTTTCTGTCGTTTGAGAGGAGGAAAAGTTTTATAAAAAAAAACAACAACATCAACATCACCCACGTGAGTAAAGAAAAATAAATTTCGCTGCTTGTTGGTTGTTTGAAGTGTGCATTGCAGGGAGGATGAAATGTAATTCTTGTTTACAGCTTGTCCCTTGAGGGTAATGCTTGGAGGCTTTCCTACATTTAAGATCATAAAAAGAACATTTAATGCTTTCATTACAACCGTATTGTTGGCTTTTATGGCATAAGCATTAGCTTTACGTATGTCCAAATGTACTCGTCTTCATCACGTTGCTTTGTTTCCATTTTTCTCCCTTTTATTTTGTCAGAATTCCTCTGAAAATATTTGCCAGAATTTTCAACCTTAACCAGTTCATTTCGGAAGTTTTTCATCGTCTTGTTTATCAACATTTTTTCCTAAATAAAAAATTCCAAATGGATGAAATTCCCAAGAGACTTGAAGAAGCAAGAAAGACTCTCGTTATTTCTAAGAAGTTGGTCATAAAAAGTTTTTGGCACATCTCAGGTCAATTAAACTCTAGGCAAGAATTTGGTGCCTCAGTTCTTTTTTGGCATGAATGAAAAGCTAACAACGATCTTTAATTTTTATTAAGAAGTTAACGCCAAAGGATAATTTAGAACAACGTCAAACTAAAACATTATCATAACTTTATATGTTGAATAAAAATTTGTTTTGTTCACAACTTGTAGGCCAATGATGGTAAAGATGGAAATTTTATTGTTGCAGAGTTATTGGAATATCCACTTAATGCCGTAAGTTCATGATTTATGGGATACTTAACCCATGAGCTTGTTGGGCGTCGATAAAATAACTGAAAGTAAACAATGCACACTGTAATTGCCTTAGGAAAAGTTGCAATTATGTTTTTCCCGCGAGTATTTAGAGAAGAACTTGATGCTATGGAGGCCAACTATCGATCCAAGATATTAATTTCATCTGCTAAGTTAAAAGCCTTGTAAAATGCCAATGATATGTCGCTTTTTTAATGTGATTAGTTGTTTATCACTCAATAATTCGACTCAATCTCTTCCATCTCTTCCATAATGTTTACCACAAACTGGAACTTGAAAATATTATCGCCTCCAGTCGTCTTATTTCTGTGCAGCGCTTGAATGAATCAACCGAGTGACTTGCTTTGTTGTTTGCTGGTAAATTAAAAAAAATTAAAATTAAATATAGAAGCTAAGAATTTGCATAATGAGATGCCTGCAGGTCACAATATTGAGCATAAACATTAATCAGAAAGGCTTGTAGCCATGAAACTTTAATAATTATTTAAAGAAGCTTTCATCTTTAATTTTTCTCCAGAGTTAAAGATGAATTGAATAATCGAAGTCAATCAAAGTCTCTTCCGTCCAATTATTCTCAATTCTCGTCTCTATTACATGTTATGATACCTACTTCATCTTGTAATAAACTTCTCACAGAGAACATTTATCAATCGCTTTGCAACGCAGTAAAAAAATGCTTAGAAGTTTATTAATGAAGAACTGTAAAAAAAATTAAGCTGATGAGATCGGCGCGAACATCAACAATAATAATAGTAAAAAAAGCGAGAGAAATGAAAAGAAAAGGTGGAAAGAAATTCACATAACTTACCTACAGACCGATATAATAACATTTTTCATTAAAGAATTAATCAGCATTTGGTTCGAGTTCGAGTTCGACATCAATTGAGAATAAATAAACGAAAAGCCATAAACACAAATTCTTTAATGACTTTCATTGCGCACCTTCATTCTAAATAACTTCTAAGAAGTCAGAAAGCAGTGACGAGCAGCTAACAGTACTTTCAATGCTGACTCTAGCAGCATCTCAACTCGATTCCGATTATTTCCTTTCTCTTTTCTCACATCACACTATGGAACAGATTCTTGCGTAACTTTTATGTTCTCTCGTGTGCCTATCGAAAAATAAAAATGGGTGAAGCTTATTCCACTTTGTTCACTCTTCGTTGATAACTTATTAGTTATTTTATGACTCGTATGATTCAGAGTTCGGAGAAATGCTTCCAATAAAGTTTTTACGACTATAAAGCTATAAAACACAATGTTCATTTTAATTGAGTGACTGAAATCTATCAACGAGATTAAATTATAAAAAAAAAAGCTTCTGTTTTATGTTTATTAAATTTATTAAAATATTCACGAAACTTTCAAATATTTATTTACAAAAGCAGCTCACCACCAATCAATTTAATGGAAATAGCGAATAATAAATTGTACACAGAAGAGAATCGTCCACACCCCCGCACCTTTCATCAAATTGGCAACTTCTTCAATTATAAAACACACTCCAGGGAAATTGTGAAATTTTCTTTGAAATGAAATAAAAAATTGGCAAAATTATGAAGGAAAAGTTTTTTTTGAGGCTTAATGAGGTTGAGGCGCAGTCTTTGAAAGAATTCTTAAAATTAAACATTTTTAAAGGTGAGAAGTTGAAGAGAGAAATGTTGTGGAACACGTAAGCTGTTACTGTGGTGACAATGAAATCAACAGGATGTGCAATGATATTAAATACGTCTTATGTTTTCCTTTGAGACCCTGAAGCAAGGAAAAGGAATTTTGTTGTTTTGTAATATGAGATCTTAAATTCCACCAGCATGATTTGTCGAATTTCTTCTGATACTTTTGAAGATGTTACTGCTAGGAATTTTCTTACATTCTTTATTAAATTTTCTGTCATGGGAGAGCTTCTTAAAGTCAAGGAACGTCATATTGTTTCTCTGAAAAATGAAAAATAAATTCCGTCTTATTACGAAACGATGGCTTGTGACTTTAACCACGAAGCAAGTATTTAAGAAAACAAACCTCAAGTTCCGAGTCGCATCCTACTCAAAGAATAAATTTTCGCATCGATGATGGTTTCTGGTCAGCTAATTGGTTTATCGATAGAAGCAACACGTGAAAGGCGGAAAAGCGTGTTAATGATTCCTTCAATGACGAAATTATAACTTTTTCACGATTGCCTCTCGTATAATAAAATTAAGACTTTTAATATCACACTGACCGCAAAATGCAAGAGTCTTTTGCTGTTTGCGGCTTTTTGCTTCATGTCTTCTTAGCTTCATTTATCTTTTGATTCTTTCTTCTCATGTGTAATTTGTGCAACAACATAAAATTATCAGAACAACTTTCATGTTCTGATTCTGATATCATCCTGAACTTTCAAAACAACACGTCATGTTTCAATGATATGAATACTTATTTACGATATTTTTATGTTTGTTCCCATATTTAGTCAACTGATCGACCCGTTAGCGATCAACTTTAATTTGATTTTAATTGAAGTGATTTCATAAAATTTAATGATTTTTTATCATTCTCCTTAGGCGATGGACAAAGAACTGTTATGCAATGAATACATTTTATTCTTACGAGCATTTATCGTTTGCTTACGTTCTGTGCTACTTTCATTCAGAACATGTTGACGATTTTGCTCCAATTTAATAAAGAGAAAAATATAAAAAAGAGCACGGAGGAAAAATTGCAGTTATTTGACTTCGAACGGTTTCTTTTTCTTTCTTATAATTGGGACAATATTTTATTGTTACTAACTAGAATTTCTGAATGACTTCATCAATGACTAATTGGTATAACAAGAAAATTCATCAAAATACCAATTTAAACTTTTCGCTCTTCAAACTGTTATGAAAGAATTTCTATTGAAATATCAAAAGCAAACTTCCAATTATTTTCTGACTTGAATTTCATTGACGTCTTCATCTTAATTTTCTGACTTTAAAATTTCTAGATGTAAAGTAATTTATAAATAAACCAAACTCCGAGATATTTGAGCAGCAATTAAAATTTTCATCCTTAAAACTTTCTAATTCATCGTCTTTTCATTGTTTCAAAGTCTGCGAAGCCGATAAAATTTTCCGAAAAAACATTTTTCTCAATTATTCTGAGGCTTTCGAGATATTTTAGAATACGAAAAATAATTCTGTAAATTGATAACATTGAAAGCTAGCAACGAACGTCAAGATTCTGATAAAAATAAATAGAAAAGAAAAATTCCTTCCACTTCACAGATTATGAAATAAAAAAACTTAAAACCACTCTCACTTTTTTATACAAAATGAAGTTAGTAAGAAACAAGAAACAAACGTGAAATGATATAAATCAATATGAAACATAAATTCTGCTACGAAAACTGTAATAAATAAAACATGATGCCATATAAGTAGGTTACATGTTCCCTCTTATCGTCGGCTTTAAAGTCGGTTCAGTTGTCTTAATGATTGCGCCAATAACAAGTGAAAAGAATGTGATGCAATGAGTGAGTGAGCGAGTGGAGAATAAGAGTAAAGTTAAGTCCATCATCATAATCATACAATGATAACATGTTGGATAATTCATAAAGATAATGAACATCGATGACTATAAATTCTTTTAAATCTCATAAAAGCAGGGAAATGTTTCTTAAAAACCAATCTGTCGTTGTTTTCATTAATACTTTAATTGCCGACATAAATCACGATGACAAACTTTCATTATTGAACATTGATTGCTTTAATAAAAAAGATTCTTTACGTTTACTTCTGTCTTCTGAAGAGAAAATCTCGTGAAGATGAATCGTTATCGACAAGATTCAAAATTGACAAAGTACTTTTGATTTTCCCTCTGGGAAGCTTCATATCTTTGAGAAGAATAATTTTATATTCTCCTCTGCTCACCCGAAAACTTCTTGACGTTCATTCTTGTTCTACTTATGAGCATACAAAGATTTTGTCGTCGCTCTTCTTGTGTGTATCACAAACAAATAATTTTCGAAGAACAATAAATTTTCACTTCATAAAAGGGCTCAAGCTTCAACATTTGATAAATGGAAAACGATACAGGAATAAATTTTTCATCACGAGGAAACATTTTTCCATTCAGCGTCAATGATTAATGGAAACTGTACATTTTCATTATAAATCAGAACCATGAAATGTTTCTGTTCTGTGTTTGATGAACCTAGGAATGTTTATATATAAACTCGTTTGCCTATTGTTGTTTAACTCGCCTTTCTGTCAGATGTCAATGAACGGTTTTTCGACGCTTGTTCGATGGGAGAAATAAAATAAGTAAAAGAGAAGCAAAACACCAAACGATAAATTCGTATTAAAAGCTTTCGACTGGAAAACAAACAGATTGTATTTGAGGAAAAGGCATCCAACTTGCTAATTGATTGTTCGTGCTTGAAATTCATCAATGATTGTAATCGAGGCTTTTCAAATAACTTTCTTTGATGTTACGCGAACATTTATGTTTCTTTTTCTGTTTCTGTTTCACAAGTGATCGTCGATGAAAGAATTCGTTGACCTGAGTAAGTGTAAATATCATTATGTTCGTCGTGGCAGGACATTGTAAATAAGTAGTAGCAGTCTACCAAGCAATTATTTGATTAAATAGACAAGTCATTTACAACTTAGTGTCGAGTAAAAAGAAAAAGCGAAACAAAAAATTAATCTTTTCAACTTCATTATTTATTTACCAACTCTTTATGACTTTGAAAATGTTTTGACTTTTAAAATTCAAAGACACGGGGGAATTTATTTACTTAATGTTAATGGCAATTTGTATGTTTATGTGGATGAATTCAATGTTGCAAATTGCTAGAAGTGCTGTTTAAAGTACTCTCAATGAATAATTTATGATGAATTTCCGAGAATCTTCCCCGTTTATTGTGTGTCGAAAAATGGAATTCGAATTTCATTCCAAAGTTGCTTCTACGAT